ATATATATATATATATATAATTATATATATATATATATATATATATTCCTTTGCGGAAGCAGCATAATCGATATCGCTAGTGGAGTGCGATATTCGTTCTTCAACAAAGATTTTTTCTTGGCTCCGAAAAAGCTTTGATTTCTCACATGATTTTTCAACAAGTAAGTATACCTTATTGCATATATAACTCCTATGTGCAAAGAGAATTCCGAATGTCAAACGTGATTTTGTTTTCGCTCCCGTAGTGCTCTATGAAAACCGTTTCAACGATCAAATCAAGCTTCAAATCGCCGAGATTTGGGCTGTCGAACAAACTATAGCGTTGTTTAAAAAAGAGGTCCAGAGACGTATGAGAAAGTTTTGTTGCCAAACCAAAAAGGTAATAAAATTAGCGAGATTCAAGCTTTCGAATGCTTGTTTAAATTCCAGTTTTAAAGCTTTGTTTAGCGATGAAAGACTTCTTAAAGTCTGATGGTCAAAAATAAGTCTTATCGCCTGCAGATTTTATATATATATATATAATTGATATCGTTTAAGCAGTATTTTTTGCTGTTGTATATATATATATATATATAATATATATATATATATATTATATATATATATAGGGTAGAGCGCATGTGGCGCAGTGGTTAGAGGTGGCCTGCGTCGCACACGAGGTAACTGGTTCGATCTCGCGCTCATGGCTCACCAAGCCATCGATCCCTCCGGGGTCGGTAAATTATTACCAGACAGGTCTCAGACTTGTCTGGAAGGATAAGCAGAACTGACTTGGTGCAGCGGGAGAGCACTTCAAGTCATTGTAAAGGCCAGATGTGCATTCAGTCACCTCAAAAGAAGTTAAAAATTGAAGTCGAATGCATGGCGCATCCCTCAGGGATTGATTAACGCCGAGAGCTTTATCGTTTATCCTATATATAAAGGGTGCGGAAAAAGTTTTGTAGTTTATACACATATTTCAACAGCAATAATGAACTGCTGAAACAAATGAATTCATTATAATGAAGGTATAATTACGTTTTTTCAGATCTACAATTACAACAATAAACAAAAGAGTTTGTAACAAATCATCAAAATTGTCTACTTTGGCCTCTATACATTTACGAAGTCGCCTTGCGAAAATTTTCAGCGACGCTCGTACACGTTTCCACCATAATCTCGTCCCGAGTGCGTGTTGAAGCCGTTTTCAAGCTCTCCAGTTTGAGGGCCAAATGTTCTACCCCAGAAAACTTGAAAACAGCTCTTGACAGACGGCAATCGTTGACCGGGCCGAATGCACAAGAGTCCAGTCTTGCTTGCTGAAAAGTAGTCCGTCGATGCCAAAGTGGTGAGTACTTCAAGGTATGTTACACCCCTTAAAACTTGTTGGTGAATGCTGGTAGCGTTAAATGTGACTTTTTCGTTGATGAAGACCAACAGGGTCTTTTCGATGACTCAAAATCCGGCACAGACCATCACAGAGGTTGGAGTGACTGTGGCCCATGCTTTTTGCTGCTATGGACTTCTAGTAACTCTTCTTGGAAGATTCACGTCGATTCTGGCGATTCTGTAGTGGTTTAACCACGAATTTCTTCTCATCCACAGAAGCACCTCTGAGAAATGAGCACCGGCCATCAAACGGATCATTTGGCGAGCCTTTGTATTCCATTTTTTTTTTTTCATTTTTTCTGCCCAGCAAATGAACAAGAGCGATGTTGGAACTGCGCAGCTTCAGCTTATTTGTGACGATGTTTTGGACGCTTCGCTCGCTGATTCCGAGTTTCCCGAGCCATTTTGCGCATCAAACGCTACGGATTTCGTTTGAACCTGGCGACAGATTCTCTGAATGTATACCGGAGTAGGTGAGGTGGTTAAACGGCCTTTACGAGTCATTCCCTTATAGTGATCATCCAACAGTTTGAAAAGTGAAAATTTTAGTAAGTGACGTGGTCTGTAGAAAGACCTCCGTAGTGTTCTGCTAACGAAAAAAAGATAAGTTATGCATTCAATGTATTTTCATCATCTCAACGGCTTTTTGTGAAATTATAGTGAAGTTTCGGTGTTAAGCAAGCGTCACCGCAATGAACGATTAGATTGTTACTGGAGCGACTCATAAAAACGTATTTTTAGTGACGGGAACGTCCACTTTCCCTGAAAACATCCACTTTTCATTACAGCCTTGTGTGCAACGCAGTCGCCCTCTGTGGTTCGCGTTGTTGTTTCCTAAAGTTTTATGCACAACTTAACCCTTTCACCAATCTATGAGTAATCATTGTATTGCTCGGAAGATCCTGATTTCAACACTAAATCAGGTCTACCAAAAGACCCTGCTTTCAAAGTACTTAGCTTTTTCCTTGATCTTCGTAGAAAATTTTGCGCAATCATATATGAAAAGTTTGATTCTATACAAGCTTTGTTGCTACGAAAAGATAGAAAATTATTTGACAGGCTTTTATAAGCAAACGTTTATTGAAGAAACGCTTAGGTTTATCCTGAAAAATCCTATTTTCCAGCGCGAAAGCTGCGTATATGAGGGAACAGTGAACAGACCACTGAATAACTGCCCATTTCCATTGGTAGAGACCGCCTTGATAAATGATGTTCAGAGTACAATATACGAGATCGAAAAAAAGCTAGCGATAAACAAAATTTGTTACATAATTCTATGAGGGTCCCAGTTGCTCAAATACACTTTGATGGAAAATTTGGAGAGAGTCATCGATGAGGTAGCATCACAGGCAGTGCTCGGCATAAATTTTGTTGAATTATAATTTTCATGTATTTTCTCAATCACACTCATGATCTCAAGGTATTTCTTGGAATGAGATCAAATCAGAGCTAAAAGATTTATGTCGAGATGTCTGATTTTGGAAGTACAAAGTGATAATTTATTTGAATATTGATGATTAATAAATTGACTAATAATCATTTGACGATTATTTGTAGCAATGAACAGAGGTGAATTGCTCTTGACAGTAGAAAATGAATGATAAATAAGAGTGGAATGTGGATAAATGCAACTAAAAAACCTTAAATAACTGAGAAACGGAAGGGAATGTGCTTTTTCGCAAACGTCTGATTTTCCCTTCCAAAATGAGGCGTTTCAAAAAAAGAAGAAGCAGTGCCGCTGATTCCAGGTTGCAACGATGGATAGTGTACACTGTTGATTATAAGTGGATGCATAGGATGTTACTACCTACCAGACAATGAAACGGGGTGTCTTCGACATCTTTCTAAAGTTCCAACTTCTAAAGTCCAGTGAGTAATAAAAGTTGCCCTGAATTATCTTTGAAGTGGCATCGCACTGCAGTGTCGCATCTCTACAGATTACTGTATGTACTGTTTCGGATGTTATAACTAAATGCCTTATTGCAGTACCTAGATCTATCATTCATTTCTATGTTACAAGTACCACCATGTTGTTTTTTTATGCTGTGGTAATTGTAAAAAGATGTATATGCAAATTATTTTTTCCTTTTTGAAAGTGTGTTTAAAAAAACGCTATTCAGTAATGTTTTTTTTTACTCACAAAATATACTATATGGTGGTTCTTATAGGACTTTGAAGGTGACGATTTTTGTATACGAAATACTACCTGCGGGATCATTACTTTGTAGATTTCTTAACCAAAAGTGTTGTAATTGCTTAATTTTACCATCGTTCATTTACGTATTTTCTTGTGAACATTTTGGTGTACAACTTGCTCGTAATTGCTTCAAAATGGAGTTGTCGTGGGAACAAATTCTCTTGCTACTCATGCACAAATGGCGCGTAGGGAAGTGTTTTTGAAGGGGCACACAAGATCAATGGAGCTCGGAACGAGCTTCATCTTAAGGTAAAAACAGGCCAGTTGTACACCAAGATGTTCAGAAGAAAATGTGCCATTGCACAATACCAATGTCATGCAATTAGTTCTAGCAAAAATCATATCAAAAAACCGAAATGGCACGAACTTAGAAGTTTTGCTGCATCATAACTCTCACTTCATGTTGCAAGCGCCTATCGAAAACGTCAAAGAAAGCTGACGTGGAAGGTTTTAGGAAGTTTTACCTTACCTGCCTCATTTCCGCCATACAGCACTGTCAACTGCCACTTGAAATAACCAGATTCAATAACAAGTTAGCAAATTCAAAAAATAGCATCTTTTAGAATGTTTAAAGATTTTAGAAACAGTAGATGCTATGGATCAGTTCGTGCCTATCAGCAGCGAACCATCGACTGAAAGTGGTGATAGCACAATGTCATTGTACGTTGTGCTGTCGCCACATACGCCTCCCTCCTTGCTACAACGCAGGGCTTGATGTGGGACGTGGGCCATTGACGAAGAGGATGAAACCTCCAAAACACGTGCATGGCTCTGGCGTAACAACCTCACCAAGGCCAAATATATTCTTAAAAATTATATTGAATGTTTAGCGAAGTTTTGAAATAGTCAATGCTATGGATAACAAAACAGCGATTTTTGAGTTCAAAATCGTCATTTGAAGCCGTAAAAAATCATTATCTAAAATATTTTCTATACATTGAACATATAAATAAGTAATGTTTTCAATACATTTTCAAACAAAAGAAAAAGAATTTGAATGTCCTTATGTTTACGACTATTACAGCAAGAAAAAGGAAAACGGCGTAGTTATAATTGTACACGACTACTAACGATTAAACGCGCTATAGTGGCAATCAATATCTATATTTTACTGAAAATCTATCACACTGCCATTAAAGCGCTCCACGCAATCCTAACGCTTGTCGCACAAGAAAGCAGTGCGCTTCTCAACGGATTAAAAAGTGAAACAAGTGCTATACAGAGACTATGGTGCCTTTGAGGCAGACCTTTTCTGTGGTTTCAGAGATCGTAATTAACTTGGAGACAACGATAGCAAACATTGTGAGCCTTCTCCTGTAGCTGTGCATATCTAGATCAAAGGCTGTACATTCAGAATTCTTTTTATTTGACTGCCTCTTGCAGTGGTATGATGTTATAGTATAACCAATAAGTTTGAGTGCTGTACAAAAAAGTTTGCGTCAGCCGGGATTTAAACCCAGATCTCACACTTTCCGCGAGCATAGTGCTAACCGTTGCACCACTGATGCTCGGTTTTGCACAGCACTCTTATTTACGCTATGGCACTCCACATTATTGGGTATACTATATCATCATACCACTGCAAGTGGCAGTCAAATAAAAAGAATTTCGACTGATTATCGATATCCAATGTCTGTTAACCTAAGTGGATTCAATGCCGATATCGGCTGCCCCGCCGTACCGTCGACGGTTGGCTGTTGGCAGACAAAGCGTTATAGCGTGAATAAGAAGTGCTGTGCAAAACGAGCGTTGGTAGTGCAAAGAGAGTACATTGCAATGCAAGCTTATAAAAGTGTTTAGTTTTTGACTTAATAGTCTTGATTGCGGAATATTTCTTTGACCGCATTCACGTTTCACACGATCTTTCGGATTTGCGCTTTTAGATTTGATGCCACTTGATATTTGTCTTCTCAGTTACAAATGAATTGGGGCCGTGACGAAATGGTTTGTGATGCTCGTCTCGGCGAAGCGCGGAGCTGATTGTCAACCTCAACATCTCCGGCAGACAACAACGAACGCTCTATGGAGCGTCACAGCCAGACTATCATCGAGTTTGCAGGTAGACATACTCAGCCAGTAGTCTACGACGTTCAAAAGTAAGACGAAAGAGAATTGAATGCTAGAAGTCCTCGGATCCGCACAGTGGAAAACGGTGAATCTGATCAAACGAAGTTTGAAATAAAGTTGTCATCGAATGCTGGTCGAACCAACCTTTCGTGAATCCTGACCTAGTTCTACTGTAACGTCTTCAGGAGGTTACCATGGACGTGCCTAGTTTCTGTGACGGAGTAAGCCTTTCTACATCTACTATCATCAACTTGGTGAACCTTCAATGATGTATAGCATAAATACAGTGACTATGGAGCAAACAGCAACACACGTTCCATTTCATGACATCTTTAACCAGAGCGCTTCCCGTCCTTATTTCATATCCTACAGTCGGATTAGAGTGAAAGCAAAGGTGATGTGTGAAACTTTAGTGCCATGGTAGTTTGAGATTTCTCAGCAGTATTTTCATGAGCTACTTAACATTCCAAATGGCGTTTTGATGCTATGATACTATCAAGATGTTATCTAAACATGTGAAAAATTACGGCCCCGTGTGAGAATTTGTCCAGAGGGTGCACTGAATGGGCTAGAATTTCTGAGCTAAATTCGTTCTTCTTCTGTTGCGTAGCTGTTCAACGTGTGGTCAAGTGTTCCTGTAGAAAAGTGCAAACTTCTCTTTTTATCCTTTGAGACATATGTGTTGCATTTTTTATTTATTTCAAATTTAGTGATGGTAAATTTCTGTGCGGTCGTTACACAAAAATAAAGGTACTCTCTTTAAATGGTTCTTCTCATTTAGGACGAAAAAGCCACGCTAGCATACTTTTGGAGAAATTTGGCATGGAAGTGTTTAGGAGATTATCCTGGTCTAACCAACGCGCTGAACGCTTCGTTCTCCGTATTGAGATGTGATTATCATAATGTAATAAAGAGATGCGACGTCTTGTTGTGCAAAAAGACGAATATCGTACAGTTACAGCTGAACTAAAATAGTTATAATCGAGTAATCAGCAAGAAATATATTGCTGGAAGTTAGAGAATGACATACAAGGATATATATTAGCAATGTAAGGAAGAAATTCTTGACAATCTCCAAATCACTTCTCTGCTCAACAATCCTTGAGTGATTGGAGACGGCATTAAGAGTTTCTCTATTTGTCCAGTCAAGACAGTACTAGGTTGAAGAAAAAGTTCCTTAATACCTGCTGAAGGAAACATAAATTCAATCAAAACAACACTAATTATTCCTTAAAATAAAGATCATCATTGTCGAAGATCTTCCGCCAACGATTTTCAAGTTTCCGGATCTGCTCGAAATCGCTACTTTTTGAGCTTCCATCAAAAAATTGACATTCCTCTTTAACTTAATCGAATGTCTCGAATCGGCGTCCATGCAGGAAATGTTCCATTGAACGAAACTGGACTATAATCAGATGGCGCAGCATCTGAACTGTATACTGGGTGCAGTAAGACCTCAATCCTTCCAATTCAGCAAACTTCACCTTAGTCTTCATTACGGTGGAGGTCTGCCGTAGTCTCACTGAAACAGCGCGCGCTATCGACGAATCAGTGTCCCATGCTTCATAATTGGCAATGTCGTGAGAGTTGCTCATGAAAACAATTCAATTTACAATAACCGGTATTATGTGGAACAAACATAAAATTCATAGATTTTTTCGCGAGTGTTAAAGAACTTTTTGTTCAACCTAGTATTTAATTTTGTTTACTGCATAAACGGCTATATCGGCAACAACGTGTTATTGGATGGATTCGTGTTTGACGGCTTGTGATTATGCTTTATTAGTATTTTCTTCGTAAAACTCGCTAAAGGTAACATTATCGCCGAGAAACGTTTCGAACACAAAGAACTAAAATGTGAACATTTGAATTTGAATTTGAGTTTGCAACGTATTACGACATTCGCGCACAGCATGAAATGCAAAATATTGTCACACGTGCAGGTTACTGTGAAAATCGCAACTATATTCGAAGCCAGTGGACATGATTTGAGCCTACCATCAACGACGCAGTTTATGGGTGTATGCTAAGAGCTGCTTCCTTCAATCTTATATGACTTTTTATCCTAAGGCTCATGAAGTCGTTTTTGATTAAAACACGGATACGTGTACGATGTGGTCAACTAATCGAGACTCAATGAATTTATGCTTAGACTTCAGACAAACAGCACTTCTATTTTGGCATTTAGTTATAAAGGGATGAAGTCATAGTCAAAAGCTTCATACGACCACGAAACGACAATGATCATTTTTAGCATTGTTCATGCAAAATCTATGTTAGCATCGCCAATGCTCGTCTAAAAATAGAAACTATTACATAACGTTGAGAAATTCAACCGATAAAGTGTTATCACTTCCAAACCCGCCCCGGCATTTTTCGCTTACGATATTTAAGCACAAATTCGAGATCATTAATCAAGCACTAAAGTCGTCAACAACAAACATTTATGTTATATTGTTCCTATTGATTTCTTTCTCAGCTTTTCCCGTACTACTCTACTCTCGAGGCAAAACTCTTCCATTGTGTTTCAGTACGGAATGACTTCAATATCAACATTGTGGATAAGACTTCAAAATAGATTTCAAATTTGTCGTCGGCGCTAATGTGAAATCGATGTCGTCGCGAGCCACCAACGCCACCACTTTTTGTGAGTAGCTGAAATATATCACGCCTGCCTTTGAAAGAATAAAAAATAATTGCTCCTAGAAGAAGCCAAAAAAGAGGCTGTAACTATACAAAGACGGTGATGGAGCAGGAAAGCTACGTGCTAATGAAATGGCATGTTCATAAGGAAAAGTAAACTACTCGCTTACCGTCGTCATTTTCCGTGAGGCCTCTAAAAGCTTCTCGAGGATTTGACAACGTCGTGTAACGATAAAGAAGAACAATTTTATCCGTTTTTGCTTCGCCTGGATCACGAACGATCTAGATTTACATTAGTGGATCAATAATGTCGGACTGGCAAAATTCGTTTGAATTACGCTAGTAAAACAAACCGCTGAACGATTGGTATTAAATTTATAATCGTCCATTGTAAAAAATTTTTTTTTGAAATCAACTTATTCTGTAACTCGAAAAATAGGCATCACTTAATTTCTAATACTCTACAATTTACAACATTTAAAAATTACTTTTGATCGCTTTGATAGTGTTGGCAAACTTTCCTGAAAAAGTAGACATGCTATTCAAATCATACAGAGTCTTAGTATAAACCGTTCTTGAATAGAATTCCTTTTTGTTTAACCGCTTTTAGCGATGGTATGATGTTATAACATTTCGATGTAGAGTGATGTGCAAAACTTCTGCGCCAGCTGGAACTCGAACCCACAGTTCACCCTATCCTGAAGCGCGTGCTCGAGCCGTTGCACTATCAACGCCTCATTTGAAACCACTCTTTCTAGGCTACAGCGCATCTATCTGTCAGCAACCAATGGTCAGCGGTTTGGCCTAGTGTAGTCGGTATCGATATCGAACCCAGTCACTCTGACAGGTGTTGAATTTTAGATGACCAGATAGAGTTTATTTTTATTTAATCTCTCTTACCGGAAGTATGATGTTATAGTATACCCAATGATGTAGAGTGATAAGCGAAGCTTTTTCGTTACGTGGGACTTGAACTCACAATTACCCTATTCGGGGGCACGTGCTCAAACCGCTGCGTTCTTGATTAACATAGGATCTTCCTCTTTAGACAAATGCCTTATTTACCTGTAGGCGTTGGAACTTCCTGGCTCCAACGTACAATACACAGGTGATACGCGATATATCTCATTGTTGCTGCATTTGATCTTGATAGCCATTCTAAAATTTAAATGACAAATTATTTGTGAGTTTGAATATCACTAGTACTGGGCAACCGAGCGAGTGATGTGCACATTTTTAAACAGCTAGATATCTGAATGACATTTTACTTTTGGAGTACAGTTATAAACACTAATACAAGTAAGAAAAGCATGGTGTGTTTTTCATTTTGACCAATTTGGAGCAATTCCCTTGGAGCTGTTTGAAAATGTTGCATCATCACTTGCTCGGTTGCCCAGTACTAATGTATTTTATTTTCGTAGAGGATAATTGTCACAACCAACACTTAGCAAACCTTTGACTGCTACCGTTTACCATCAGATGTCGTGACGCTCCACCTTTCGCCGCCGAAAAGTAACATACACGCGGTGTTAGAAACAACGAATAATCCTCAGTATCGTAAAGCATTCCGAATCGCTGAAATATTTGCAATAGAATCGAACTGAGGCGAGTTCTGTAATAGTAAATTACACCGTAAAGAAAATTTTTAAATATTGCTACAGAATAGTGGGCGAAAAGTTATATATATATATATATATATATATATATATATATATATATGTGGAAGCCCATGTAGCGCAGTGATTAGAGGTGGTTTGCGTCGCACACAAGATCGGTGGTTCAATCTCGTTCTCGTAGC